AATCAAACTCCATGAGCCAAGAATGAAATTTAAATTTATATTGAAAGATTGTGAGGTATTAATGCGTAAACTCATACTATATTTTGGCCTCTAAATTAAGTTTACAGAGTCTACTGAGTCTGACAGTTCATAATGAAGCACCAGGAGTGTCCAAAGCTAAGATAACCCTGACAATAATTTGCATTTGTCAATTACATTTATTTTGACAACAGAAGCAGACTATTTCAACATGCAAATTATATTTGGATAAATACAAAGAACTGTTTGAAAATCCCCACTGGTGCAACTCAGGGTTTTTTTCTGTTTTTCAATCTATCCTAAACCCACCTGCCTTTCTTTTCCTACAGCAATCTAAAACATCAAAATACAGCATGACATGAAGAGTAAATCTACATCAAAATCTGATATTAAAAATATTTGCCATTCAGAATTAGATCAAGTAAAATTTTCTATTACCCAAGAGGCTCCCATAAAACAGCTTCCAAAATTTACTGCAGAAACTAATTATGTACCTTCACCACAGAAGAAGAAAGCAAGCTCAGAAATGGAGGAAAACATTGTATATTACTGTTAAAGCAAAAGGAAAGATCAGATGCCTTGCATCTGTGGTGTGCACCAAAGTAAGAGACGTGCAACAAGGGGTAAACAAACACTTACCCAAAGAGCAATGACAGAATGCAGATACACTTCTTAAACTGTATGCTACACACAATTTGTACAGCAGCACTGGGCTTTTTTTGATCTTTTCTCTTTAGAAAAGACAAGAGAACAGCACCATACCTACTCAGCTTTCAATTTCACATAACTTCAGAAGTCACCCTTATACAAGTCACAATTCTTTTCCATGCCAAATCATGCACAGCTTTATAAAACATCAACAGTATTTTTTTAAAGCTGATTTTAAGTTCTCCATTTACTTTTTTAATGTTCATTTCTGAAGAGACAGTCTACTCATCACCTGTAACTCCCTGTTCTTGTATGTTATTATATATTGAGCCAAGATCTGGTTCTGTTCAGTCCCACACACTGTTATAAAGTAGTTGTGCACAAGACTACACCCTGGTCTGTGTGACACTGCCACAAATATGAGTAAATAATTTGATTTGCAAGTATGGTGTATCACATGACAAAGAATTTAAAAATGCCAAATGTCTTCAAGTTGGTGGCATCCCTTTACTTTCTTCTATTCAATGTAAATTGAATACAAATAGGATTTTTAATGTTTAACCAGTAGAGACAAAAATATGCTTTTTGGTTTTATTTAAAACAATCTATTAAATCACTGCTGCCAAAATAAATCCTATTAATTAGAATTCTTTGAAAATTCATATCTGAAGTAATAAAAATTCCTTTAATAAATATTTCAGCCCCACCTGAAAAAGGCATTCAGGAGATAATTAAGACATACATATTGCTGAAAGAAGCAAACATTCAGGAAAATTACACCATTTTTAGGATAAGGCAATTAAAAAATGGTACAAACTCTGTGTTATGTTGATTTTAAATATGAGAGGTGACAGAAGCAATTTCCTGTATGACTAGCAATGACAATGCTTCTGCTTTTATAGAACTTGAGAAACAAAATAGTATTTACATTGCTTTCCCTTTGCTTATCTTGACTAATTGTCTTTCTATTCCTATTAACAACCTTTTCAGGGGTTATTATCACAATGATTATAACATATGCTTTGTACAGGGAAAAAAGTTACTTTCAGAAGGTGGGAAAATTAAGAGCACTGAAATAAAACCTAAAGCCTTCTACCTTTCTGTCTCTTTTACAAACAGTCAGTTGAATACTCATTACTGTCATTATTAAAAGATTGCTCAGCAAGATGTGAAATTATTTGTTAGTCTCAGTCAGCTTCCCACTGGGCAGATGTACACTTCTAATGGTTTTCCCTGCTATGGCACCTCAATAGCCAAAGAAATGGGTGATATGACAAACCTTTAGCAAATGGAACAATTCCAGCATTGACCTGGAGCTGGTTCTGCCAGCTGAGACAGGATCAGTCTCTAGAGCTGTCAAGCTGTCACACTTCACTAACACTGACTTCACTGAAACGTTAACAAGGAGAGGGCAGCAGACAGCCTAATTTAATGGTCAGCCCCCACAATGCAGCTTCTCCACGAGGCACAAGGGCTTGTGCAGGGCTCTGAGACTGCCTCTTGAACAGAGATGCTCTTGCTGCTTCCCACACAGCCCTCCCACTCTGAAGGGAGAGAATAATAAACTGGTCTCCCAGTCTTTATAGAGGCTAATTATCCATCTCCAATAATATTTATTACATTTATGCCTCCTTTAGCTAAATGATCAAACAAATCCACTGAGTTAGATTTCTCAATTTAGCAACTAGGTAATGCAAAGGAATCACAAGCCTCATCTTTTATAATATCATTAGCTCACACTATATCTTGATAGCAAACATGATAACATCAGCTAAACCCTCCATTTTTAAAATGTTCAAAAAGCTGGAAAACATGTAAGGATGTTTCTAGTTTTGCCAAGCAGGCATGCTCAATACATGCTAAAGAACTCATTTCTGGAAGTTTTGTTCATGCAAAAGGTGGAACAAAAAAATAAAGAAATAAGGAAGCAGAACTCAATACAGATTAAGTAACAATGGACAAGAACAAAGCCATTTTCTCCAGACTGACCCTGGATTTCTATTTGGAAAGCAAATTTGCATCTGAAGAAAGCAGTGGTGTTTATGCAGAAATGGGTACCACGTTTCCAAGCTATTATAACATTCCTCCTCTACAAGTTTGTTGAAGAATGACTGCAACATGAGCAAAGTTACAGATGATTAAAGAATAATACACTAAATAAGATGTGTTTCCTTGTAAGGTGACTAAGACTAATAAAACCAAAAGTCACAGTAGTTTCCTTTTCCACCTTCTTTTAAAGGAAAAGCACCCACACAAAACTGCTGCCTCAGTGAAGGTTGCCTGAGGCTGACAGTCTCTCTAAGAGACTGGAATTATAAGACTGACTACTGGAATTATAAGACATATCTTGTATTGTTCTTACACCTGTTAAGTATTCCTCTAGTCTCCTTTTGACTCAAGAAAGCTATGGGACCTGTGATGCAGGAAAAGAAACCAGCCCTGTAAAATTAAAATCCAATATCATTTCACATATCCTAGCAGTGTCTTTCTTATGCTCAGATGTTGCAAAGCTACAGCTTTTCATGCCCCATCTGGGCAAACCTGCCACAAACAAAACATCTTCACCAGGGCTCTTTCTCTCACTCACAGAAAATTCTATAAGTGGCTGGCAATAATATATGTGTGCAGGTTTTGTAAATTTATTTAGAGGCAAAATTAAAATATTCTACACTGTCTATCCCGAGGAAGCCACAGATTAATAATGAAAGAATCATAATGCAAATACAGTATCTCACATATGCATGAATGCAAATCAAAGAACAACTTTCATGCAAATTAGATAATGCACTTTAAATTTACTAAACTAAGATACATATGTTGTCTCTGAGGAAAAACAGAGAAATTATTCCACTAACACCATGACTGTTCAAGGCATCTTCAAAGGATAAAGAATAAGAAAACCAGAAAGGAAACGGAGTTGCACACCACCAAATACTTTCTGTACCAAAGTGAAAGACAGAGTGCTTAGAAAATATGAATTGTAAAAAGCATCACAATTCTGTACACTGCTCCAAAGATATGATCATAAAGATCTGTAACAGCCTCTTCCACACCTTTGAAAGGAACCAAGCTGAAGAAAATAAAAGCATGCTAAACAATGTGATGGATTCTTTGAAAGAAGGGACAGAAAGCAAGTAATGAGCAAAACAAGAAAGAAGAAAGAAGAATAAAGAAGAAGTTATTCAAGCTGTAATACACAAAAACACATCCTTCCAGTGAGGGTGAAAAATAGCCACAATAAACAAGAGAGAAAACTCTTCCTAAATCACAAATTCATCAAGCCAGTAAGAACACAGGGAATTACATATCTTATCACTCCTTGTCTGCTGTGTTTGTCTTCATCAAAAGCAGACTGCATTGTTTGTTTTAAACTGCAAGAGTCAACTTCAGCACGGTCAACAAAACCAACAAATGGGAAATAAAAATGTAAAGTGATGCTATCACTCCTAATTTTATGAAGTTAGGATTGATGAAAAAAGTAAGCTGAACTGAACAACTGTAGGAACAAAGTGAAGCCATTTCAGAATTCAAACAAAAATCAGACATCAGCAAAATTTACAAGACATACAGGATTAAAGTCATTTCCATCACCTCTCTGTCCCAGAGGACCCAGTGCACCACCATAACCACTCACATTCCTGAAAGCAGTGCAGAGTTCTGTGGGGAAAGGGCACAACAGTCCCTTGAAAAATCAAGAGTCTAATGACCGTTTCTATGTTAAATCAGGAGTATGTATGATATATGTAGTAACAGAAATTATCAATAGCCACTGTATTTTAAAAAGCCCCTAATAAAGCCACAACTCTTTAACTGCACAATTTTACTGCCCTTACGTACATTATTCAATTAAATTCTACCTTAGCAAAAACCTCTGCGCCACAGTCATGTTTCACCTCATTGCTTAAAACCCTGGGAGTCAAAGGCCTTCCTGCTTTGCTATTGACACATGCAACCTACTAGGTACTGTATCTAAGAAAATGGGTATGAATCACTCTTTTATTTTATTCTCTTTATTATGTAGTAGGTACAAAGAAGGAAATTTTCTACTACAAAACTCAGCAGGTTTTGGCAAGACTGTCTTTCCTTCAAGAGTTACAGCTGACTTCTCCATCTTTTCAAAACTTAGCTTAAAATAAAGCAACACAACTGTAATGATAACATATTAAAAATCACTGATAATGTTTCCAACACCACACAACTGATAAAACAACTTCTCAGCATGCTGGAAAGAAAAATAAAAGTAATTTTTGACTGGAGCTTTAAAATAAGATTTTTTTAAAGCTACCGAACCTAATGAATTACAAATCTCTGAAGCAATCAAGCAATATACATACCTGCAATTGGAATATTCTGAGATACTGACAGTTGTACATCTCCAGTCCCAGGTGGCATGTCAATCACTAAATAGTCCAGTTGACCCCAGTCAACCTAGAAGACAACAATATAAACATATGTGGAGATTTACACATTTTTATTTAGGGCACTTTGTGCTTTAGTGCAGTCCTTGTTTCTCGTAATGTAAACAAGTGAACCAAGGACCTCTAAAAGAATAATACTGAGATGCCCTCTTAGTCACACCTTCAGCACAGGATAAAGACCTTATTTTCCTGAGACCATCTTTGCTGATGCCTCAAAACTATGAATGCAACTTTATCATTCACTTCATTGGCATAATTATTATTTAAGTATTTCCCCCAAAATATTAGCAATAACTTAAGATGTTTACTTTAAGCTCTTTAATCATGGATTAGAAGCAAATGTTAGGTAAAACTCAGGCTAAAAACAAGGGATTTGTGCAACAAATATCATTTAGGAGTTATTTCCATTCATTTAAGACTACCTTCCTTCCTTCTAATCACTTGTTGAAACTACAGTTTATTTACTACATACATATTTAGCCTTTTTTTCTGTTTTGTTGTTATGAAGTTAGAGCTATCAGTACTGTATTTTTTCCCTAGGCAAAAGAGATGTTGGGAAAAAGAAAAATAAAGAAACAGAATGTCCCAGATTTGTTAAATTAAAATCACCAGCTATAATTATACAGAGTGACAACATTCTTAACATTCCAAAATTTAAGAAGTTTAATGGTTGTTAGACATCAAATGAGAGCAACCATTAAAGATTTTAGACTCTTGTTATGAGAATGCTGAGATTACTTACATTTTTTTACAAGGACACATTTTCCAGGAAAGCCAAAAAAATCTCCCTAGAGCATAGTGCACCAAGATAATTGTTCTCTTAATGAGAAGAGAAATTATCCTAAGCCTACTCTATATAATGGAGCATGCAGTATAAATACAGTATATAGATAGTAGTACATATAATGTAATTCTCTATACTTGATCTAAACATTTCCCAACAGATATAATGGAATTATATGGTATGTTCCTGATTCATAAAACATATGCAAGATACAACTGCATGAGCTGCTTTAAAACAGGAAAATGCCAAACCAGAGCATTGTTTTTTACACATTTCCTCAAGTGTCATTTTAACAACAAAAAATAATCAACACTTTGCCAGTCCCCTAGTTATTGCATGGAATACTAGACCCTGTCAGGGCAATACTCATTCGTTTTCATTCAGTTCTTGTATGGATGATGATCTTCTAGGGAAGCACATCCTACATGAAATCCAGATCACTAACCCACTAAACACTCCAGTGAGAAATGGAATTTTTCAAGGCAGAAGAAGGAAGATTTCAGAGCATTTATGAGAGAACAGGAATGGAAAAGCTTAGCTGAAAATTCTAACTTTAGGTGTCTAAATTAGGGACTCTCAGGCACACCTCCCTTTTCTCGTTTTTATTCAAAGGCTGCAGGAACACTAAACCATGCCTAAGCCAGTCTAGCTAAACAGGAAATGCCATTTCTGTTAACCACAGCAAATGCTGCATTTTTTCACATTTGATACTGATCTATGTCATTTATAATATCCACATTTTGTCAAAAAATTGCATACATCTAGCAGACTAAAATCAATTACCATTCATAATCATATTGAGATGATATATCTCTAAAGAAAAACTACATCTATGTGCAAAAATATACATACTGAAACAATTATGGGCAGAGAAGCCATTTTATCTGAAAAAAAAGTCTGGTTTCAACTCTGGTTTTCTTAACTAATCTTGCTTAGTTATTCACCAGATAAATGCCAGTGGCAATTAATGCCTCCTTGTCCAGTAAAAACTACTTTGCTCACATGCAGGTATGAATTTCAAATTTCTATGTTTCTTAATTAAAAATCAACCATTATAAAGGTGACAATTTGAAATTATATAGATGTAGTAGTTTACAAAATCAACAAAATCACATTCCTTGAAGATTTGCAACTAAACACACAGATCTCCTGTAAGTAACATGCAAAAATGTCAATATGCAAAATCTGGATCTTTCATAATAATCAGAACCATTTTAAAATGCTAGGTAGGCATAAGCAGTTTTAGTTTTTAAAAAGGATAATGGATTAATTCAAAATACCTCCTCCCCCCCACCATCTTCATGAAGCTTGATTCTGGCATCTTTTGTTAAGTCCATATATATATAAAATAAATAATACAATTCCAGTAATCATATTCTCTTTCCTTAAATGCTTCTACAAAATAGAATCAATAAACTGGTTTTTTGCTTTCTGCCTTGCAGTAAGATGCAGTCTGGAAACAAATCTATGAGTGGCATAGCACCACTATTATTCTAACACAGTGTCTAATCACTTTGTCTGCCAAAAACAAAGGGTTCTTGGGTATGTTCTTGGAAAAAAGCTTGGATATTTAGTAGTTTTCAGCCATTTTTTCCAAGAGCTCACATTCAAGTCCTTTTAGGTACAGCACTGCCTCATGGAGTCGTACAAAACAATCCAAATCCCACACTTATCAGAGGTAACTGGAAAGGAAAATGCATTCTCCTCAAGCTAAATAAAAGCTGTCTGGTTTTGCATATACTTGCAGGCCCTAAATTTAAGCTGGCTCCTCCTGTGAAAAAAAGTGACTTTCTGGGCCCGACCTCAAGCTTTTCTTTTCAGCCTTCCCAAATGTTTTGCTCCTCCTCCAATCTCTTCAAGCACTAGTCTCCTTCATCAAGTTCCATGTGATTGCCCAATGTACCAAGCATTACAATTGTGCAACATTAGTGGAGGTGACAGCAAACACCAGCAGCTCAAAGCCTTTCCTAGACATTCAGATTTGTGGGGATACACAAAGTTTTGCTCAATAACATACTTTCAAAATCTACACTATATTGTAAATCAGAAATCAGAGGGCACCAGAGCTTTCCGCCTCAAACTTTCTTAGTAAGTGACCCCAAAACAGCCAGCGTGCACCTTCTGGATTGTCCTACAAATAATGATTTTTTAATAAAGTTACAAACCTTTGAAAACTGAAGTTAATAAAGGAGTCTTAAGCACATGGTGAATCTCATGGTAAATCTCATTGCTAGGCAACAGGAAAAATACCCTGCTAACACATAGTGTAATTAAATTATAACGCTTTATTTAATTTATGGCAGCATAAACATCTTATTTCACATATTTTCTTCAAATTCATGGATTGAAAAGAAAAAGAAATGAGCTGCCTATCAAATTAAGTGTAGTCTGTTTTATTGCTTACAAACTTGATCACAGAAAAATGGAGAAGCTACACCATTCCAGCAGAAGTGGAGAGGACATCTTGCTACTGAGCAGAGTAGGTGGCAGACAGGATTTTGTGCCTGTCAAGTTCACAAGTTTAGAAAAAGCCACAGCAAAGATGCCAAGGTCCCTAAGTACTAAATATATAAGAGCACTACCCTCCACAAACCTCTCTGAGCCATGCTACTGCTGGTGGCGCTGAACTGGTGAAAATCAGGTGGCAAACTAGATTGGAAAACCATTTCTAATCAAAACTAGCCATGTTTTTTATTTTGAAGGCATTCAAGTAATTATCCTCAAAGTTTCATTTTCCTGTTTTTCATTTGTAATTCAGGGCAAGAAGGGAGAACTGCACCAAAATTATATAGCCAAAATTTCTGGAAAGAACCGATCTAGTCTATTTGCCTGGTAGCGAGCAGTAGTGTCTAGACATACAGATTTGCTCAGACTTGGGCTCGGGAATGCTGCATGTAACCCCATTTCTCACTATGGACTTTCTCTTATTTGCTTCTATTCTGCAAGGATTGGATGTCATTCAGTTGCTCCTCCACTACCCTCACACAGGAATACAGCAGTATGAAAATCTTTTTATTAAACACATTATTGAATATAATTTGGACAATTTGTTATAGAAGTGTACACTTTATTTAACAGAAGAAGAAATTACGGGCATGTTACCAAACTGCAGCATAGTAGAAAGAAAGAGGGGAAAGACATTTTTAATTAAATTCAGAACTGGAACATAAAATCAGGAGTGGCTTTTTGAAATCTACTTTTGCCATTAATTCAACATTATTAAAATGGAACAAATAATCGGGCTGTGCTATAAAACACTACTTTGAATGCAAATCCTGTTTATATGCAACAATTTACCAATTCGGGACCACTGTCCTTATGTTCTCCATGAGTTCCAAGAAGTGTGTGTGTATGCAAATGCCGTTTCACACAGGAAAATGAGCTCAGATTAACAGCACATTACAGTAGATGAGTTCCCTTCGCAAGCAATAGGCAGACTGGGCTACAAAAGCCTGCCTTGTAGCATCTGAAATCTGTCAGCACCTTTGCATGTACAGAGGTGTTAATGTCTTTGCCCCTCTAATGTATACAGTGTGTAAAACATTTCAAAGCATAGAAATGTAATTGCGTTTTCCTTAAGCACAGCATCCATCTTTTTTTAAAAAGGTTTAACTTGACATTTATTGTTAAGCAAAGTAATTAAGTGCCATGTGCTTCTGTGTATTTTCCCTTGCTCAGAAACCCCAGGAATGCTTCTATGTAAATTACTTTAATCAATCATTCTGTTTATGTGACAATCCACAATCAAAATACCATATATGCATTTTGAGTAGGGGTTCTAAATAGCAAGTTAAACCCAAGGTAGAACACAGAGATATAGATGACATTTCTGCTGAGGAATGAAGCCTGAGCATCCTCTGTGCATGAGGCAGAAAGGATAAAGCATTAGAACAGAAGAGGGGTTGCTACTTATGACTTTGAAGTAATCTTCATGTTTGGTTGTTTGGTAAATAACAGAAGATATTATTTATTTGTTCCTATTAAGAGGAATACATGCAGAGTTACAATCAAGAGTTATGCAGGTGCAGACTTGGCAGCAGCCAGCCAAACTGAACACCAGTATCAGAAAAACAGTAAGAGCTACACTGCAGGCAGCTTAAGTTCTATTCCTGCCAGATCCATCCTCCTCTCCTAACTACTTCATGTGTATGTTAATGATTTAATACAGGCAGACAGCTGAACAAAGTAAAGGTGAGAAATTGTGTTCCTGCGTGAAGATTTATATA